GGCAAAGCGGTACGAGCCCGCACATCATGACATAATCCCGTGCAACAGAACGCGCGCGCCGTGGATTCCCGGTCTGTTCGGCTACTATTTTAAATAAGCCCCGTGTGGCGTGGCGGCGACGGGCTTGCGCATCGCGCGACGACGCGCGGCCGTCGTTACGCAAATGAAAAAAAGCCCCGTCGACGGAAAAACCGGCGCGGACGCGGCGGAAAATCGTGCGCCGGCCGGGAAAAAAAGAAACAGCCTCCTCCGCGCGTTCACGGACGAGGAAAGCCGACGCGGCGTGACGACGCGCGCGCGAGCCGTTCTACGCGAACCACCGCCTGATACGTTTCTCCTCCTCCCGATTACGGGGAACAAGAGTCAGTATCGATAATTGCCGATGCACGAGCCGCGTCGGCACGAGAAACGAAAAATATCTATCGAAAAATATCTATCGGCGAGAGTTCGTAACCTCGGGCGATCCCCGAGCGGTCGGGCAGAGAGAGCGGGAGAAAGAGAGGAAGAGAGAGAGCGAGAGAGAGAGAAAAAGAGGGAAGGAGAGAGAGAAAGAGTGAGAGAGAGAGAAGGAGAGAGAGAGAGAGAGAGAGGGAGGGAGAGAGAGCGAGAGAAAGAGAGGGAGAGAGAGAGAGCGCGAGAGGAAGAGAGAGAGAGAGAGAAGAGATTGGCCACCTGCTGCTGCGCAGCTCGACCAACTAGAGCAATGAATTATACGTCGGATATCATCGGACTGTCGGCAGCTGTTGGACGGACGGTGGCGGCCGGTTTCGCGGCGCAAGGAGAAACCAAACATGCGCCGGATTCCCCGGGCAAGTTCAGCAGTCCGGTCTCGCTGTTAGTTGAAAGGAGAGCGAGCGCCCGGAGAGATAAGGACGGATTTACCGGAAGTGTCAGTAGCAGAAAGATAGCGAGCGCGCGCGCGGTGGGGATCGCGCGGGTACCACGCCGAGAAACATCCGCGTTAGGCTACGTCACCGGCTGGACGAGAGCGGCGCGCGTGCGGCGCGCGGCGTGCACCGGGCTTGTTTACATCGCGCTGTTGTCACGAACGCCGGAATGCGATGCCTCCGTCTTCCTCTCTCTCTCACTCTCTCTCCCCGCCTCTCTCTCTCTCTCTCTCCGCGTATAACTCTATACGGTCGCAGGCTATACGGGGTGGCGCGGCGACGCCTCGACCGCGAGAGCCTCGAATCGTTTGGTTAAAATAGCGGGTGACCTTGAGACCGCTGGAGGGTGGGGGGCAACGAGGAATCCCGAGATGGGAATACGCACATGTTCTTTGGAGGATGGACGCCTCTCTCTCTCTCTCTCTCTCTCTCTCTCTCTCTCACTCTCTTTCTCTCGACGTGCTCGAGAAAGCGTATGAAATATTTTCGATGGACGAGGTAGGTCAGGTGACCGCGTTTGTGCGGGCCATGCCGTACGCGCGTGAGGCGCGCGTGCATGTGTGGAGCCGGACCAGTTAGATTCGACCCGCCAGTGCCGGGATATCTATCTTTGGATCCACTAGCGGAGCGAGGCGCGCGCGATCTCTTACTCAATCGTCTCACGCCCGTGCCGGTGACCAGTGACACCGTTAAACGCGGCCATTATTTCGAATGCGCCCCGCGGGTCGGATATTTCCGTGACGACCGTAGATAGAGTGGACGACGCGCGCGGATCACGCGCGGCAAAACGCCGCGTCGCGCCGCGCCGCGAAGCCGAGCCGAGCCGAACCGAGCGCGTTACGCGCGCGTAATAAACGCGCAGCGGTTTGTGTTTTAGCTTTTCGTACCAGTGAAATGCGCGCACGCGTGCGTGTCAGTGACTCTCAACTTTCTCCCGTTCCACGCGGGATCTCGAGCGCGATTTCGCGCGGCTCGGACACCCGCGGCCAGTGCCGCGCGAAGGAGGACCGTTGTTCCGAAACCGGCCATTTTGTTACCCAAGGTGGCTTTAACGGTACAGCCGGCGCGCGGGTGTAAGGGAAACCGAGGTGTCGAACAGCGAAGATAATCGCCCCGGGACGAAAGATGTTCGCCTGTACGCGCGCGGGCCGTTGACGAGTGCGCGCACGGAAGCTTGAAAATCACCGCTCAGGCGTGCTTGCGCCAACGGAGAGAGAGAGAGAGACAGACAGACAGAGAGAGAGACTGAGACAGAGTCAGAGAGAGAGAGAGAGAGAGACAGAGAGAGAGAGAGAGGGGGGGAGACAGACAGAGAGAGTGACAGAGTCAGAGAGAGAGAGAGAGAGAGAAAGAGAGAGAGAGAGAGACAGACATAGAGAGAGGGGGAGAGGGAGAGGGAGAGGGAGAGAGAGAGAGAGAGAGACGAACGAGCCGGTACGGTATTTACCGATTCATGCTTCGGCGACCTTCTGCGTCACTAAAAGTCCAAGACGCGACGCAGCAGCACGTGTAAACTCTCCCCGGGAAACTCTCTGACGCGCGGATTGCCTCGCTCTCGCGTAACAGAGTATCGGTAAATTAATTGCGATGCCCGACGTTTGACTCTTTCTGTACGAGCGCGTTGTCCGCCGTGACACCACTCCCACTGTACGGGCTGCCGCGCCGAAAATGTGCACATAACGCAGGGTCGGTCCACTTTTGTACGAAGATTTTCTTAAGCGTTAAGTAACGACTGTGCTTAATCCGTTTCTAAATCTTTTGTTTCCTGTAAACATTCTGTACAGAGCCTACAATTTGTTCAAATCTATGAACAAGTTTCGAAGAAAGATGTAACCTGAAATTTTTTAAATCGATTCAGATCAAACGACAATTATACCTGTAGCTTTGTTTTTTTCGGAATCCTTCTAAGAAAAGACTTTATCCGTTCGAGTCCCAGGGATTATTCAAAAAACACGGTGGAAAAATGCCGAACAGCGTGATAGCGCTGCTTGGGACTCGAACGGTTATTAGAATAATTTCTAAATATGTCAGAAATATGGCTCGCATAGATGCCAGATGTATTCGGCACTCGCCCATGTTGGTCGTGGATAAAGGTTACGGGTAAAGGTTACGGACGGTCGCGTGAAATTGTCGTTAATTTCGCGCGAGAGCCCTCTAACGTCGAAAAGAAAAGCCATCGTCGATGTGCCATCGATATAGCCATCCGACGTATGTCTCTTCCCGACTGTAAACGCCGGACGGTCCCGCGATAAAGAGGCGTGTTTATTATTAATTCGCCGGCAGGAGCATGCGCAAGGATCGTTGGACCGACCGTAAAAAAAAAAATATCGGAACCGGACACCACGGTTTGACCAGATCCGGTTCATTTTTTCCTCCAACGAACGAGCGCCGCGAGGTTTCCACGAAATGGAACCGCGGTCACGCCTGAGCTGCCTAACGGAGGTAGAAAGATATTGCGTTAACGCGTTCCACGTGGGGTCACCGGTAGCCGGTGCACCGGCGAGCACACTATACGCCCGTACTCGGACCGCGCGCATAAGCCGAGCATGCTCCCGCATACACGCGAGCCGGCGTTCGAGCGAGCGAGCAAGCGAGCCGGCCGGCTCGCACGGATAACGCTCTGGCCAGTGCCTCTCATTACGAATCTAACCGCGCCCACATAGCGGTATATCGAGGCTGCGTACACTTCTTCGCCACGCCTGACCGACCGTAACAGCGCTATCCCCCGGTTTTACGGGGTATTTATTGCGCCCGTTGCGCTAGCTACGTTTTTCCGCGAATCCGTAAACATTCGCGCGGCTTCCGATTATCCGACCGGTGGGCATAGAGCGCGCGCGCTCTCTGTCCGCGGCTGTAACCCGAGAAAGGCGCGTTGAAAATCGACTTGGCCGGCGATCGCGCGCGATTCTAATGCCTCGCCGCGGCGTTTCCTTCTCCGTTGACCCGCTCGTTAACCCGTCGTGTTCATCCGCGACGGATAATATACCCGTGCACCGTTCCCCGGCGTTCCGATCCAGCCCATTTACCCTCGAATATTCCGGTTAATCGCTGGATCGCCGGCAGCGAGACGGATTCGATTGCCCCCGGGGTCTGGATGCGTGGCGCATAGAGCGAGCCCCACGGTCGTATTCCAGATGCAACGTCGCAAGGTAACGTCGTTTGCCCCTACCCCGTGGCCCCGTCGTGTGCTTCTCTATCCCCGATCGGAAGGGAGAGAGAGAGAGAGAGAGCGCGCGCGTCTCTCGCTCATGCGCGCCGCGTAAATGGAACATCCACTCTATAGGTCGGTCGAGGAACGAGGTCACGAAAATTAAATTTTCTGATTAACGACGCCCGGTCCGAGCCGGCGCGGCGCGCGCGCGCGCTCGCGCTCGCGGGGGAGAGCGAGAGAAGCGTAGTGTACACGGTGTACACAACAGAACCGGCAACAATGCCGGTAGCAGAGACGGCCGCGAGCCGACTGTCAGCGTCGGATTCCTTCGCGACCGGCCGTGGAAACAGAGGCAGAAGAACCCGGCTTCGCCCTACACGCGGAAATAAAAAAATAGCAAGCGGGTCTCTCCGCGTAAACATGCCACAATTCGTCGAGCATGTCATCGATACGGCCGGTGCGGCGCGGCGGCGTTATCGCGCGCGAGACCGCGTTTCCCCGCTCTGGAAAGCAGTCTCTCGCTCTCGACGTTCCGTGCCGACCGGGAGCGAGCGAGCGAGAGAGAGAGAGCGAGACGGCTTCTGCGCATGCGCGCCGGTCGAGTTTGATGCGCGCTAACCTGCTCGGATGCACCGAGACCCGACACGGTCGTACGGATGACGTATCAAACCTCGTTATGCCCGCAGCGTAGCCGACGCGTTCGCGACGACTTTTTTGCGGCGCGTCCCTTTCGGAAGAAATAAAAAACACCGAGAACGAGACCACTCCGTGTGTGTCGCTTCCGGAGGATCGATGCGCGGAAACGAACGCGCGATTCGACCGAACCGAACCGAACCGAACCGTTTCCGATTTTCCCCGCGCGGGGAAAATTGCCCCTCGAGACCGTTCCTTAACCTAACACCGGAAACCGGTGATATAGTAGACCGGCGTGAAAATAATTTGTAAATTCGTATATGCCTCACCTCTTGCCCGTTCGGCGCGATCTTCACGTCCACCTCGTCCTGGTGCTCGCGGTGCTGCGTGACCTCCGCGTGAATCTCCCGGCCGTTGTACGTCAGATAAACTTTCTGTCCGGGCACGAGCCGCGCGGTGGTCACAGAGCCGAAGCCGGGCCCGATCAGATCGCGATCGGAGTACTCGGTGCTCGGGCTCGGCGGTCGGCCGCCGGGAACGGAATCGAACCGCACCGAGTAGCGTGTCTTCGGCGTAATGCTGAGGCCTGACTCAGAGGCGGCTGACGCCGGCGTTTTTACGGCGTGGATGACGCCGGTGTAGTACTTCCCGTCCTCGCCGGGAGCACACACTCTGGTGCCGATTATGCTACGTTTCGCCAGCCTCTTGCCCGTCGACATTATTCGCGGCTGCTGCTGGTAAACGAATCTCTCGGTGATCAACCACGGTCGTCGTATCGATAAATAATCGTTCGAGATCTCGCACTGCGCGATCGCCACGGGTACACCGCGCGGTGCTCTATACCTCGTTCTCGATAGTATCGCGCCGCGAATAGTCTCTCGTGAATCGCATTTGCACCGGTCTCTCGTTATCTTCAGCTTTCTCGCCGCACTGTCTCTGGGATTCCGAACGGACGGGCGCCGATCGCGCTTCGTTACGGAAAGAATCGTAACGACGAATCGTATTCGCCGGACGCGCGACAACGTACGACGGCCGATCCAATAGTTCGATGCTCGCGAGAGACGATACGAGCGACGCGTCGGTCGATATTGTACGTGGATCGGTTGAACATCAGCGGAAACACACTCCCGGCGAACTGGACACCGACACCACAAGAACCGTCGCCTTTAATTTTTCACCGGTTCCCACCGAAAATGGGATCTCGCTCGCTCTATCGCTCTCTTTCTTTCTTTCTCTCGCTCTCTCTCTCTCGCACTCTCTCTCTCTCTCTCTCTCCCCCCCTTTCTCTCTCCGGCACACGTACACACGCCGAGAACGAACCGTCGTCGGGTTTAGGTCATCGTGTTCCACCGATAATAATCTCGTTTAACAGCACGCTCGAAAATCGGCAGTTTCGCGTTGCGAATCGCGAATCAACAACTCTCGCGGGCACACGGCGATCCGATCGATTCTCCTAGACCGTGGAGGGACGCGGCGGCCTTCGAGGCCTGAACACAGAACTCAATGTATCAACAACAAAACGGCGTGCACCGTTGCCTGCGTTTGTCACGCCGTCCGCATGTTCGAGGCACTTCGTGATGGATTTATCGTGATACGTTCGCGTGCACGCGGTAGATAGCATAATATACGACTGACGCTCGCCGGCGAGTCGAAATCCGGCACCTTGCTGCAACCTGAACGAGCAAGCGGTACACGGTACGATGGTGGACAGACAGAAGTCGGACTCGCGGTTCCCGACATGTGACGCACAGCTGAGCGACCGGGGAGAACTGAGGATAGACTTCGAAACGGCTTTCACTGCGCCGGCCGGCCGCCCGCCCGCCCGGGAAAAACAGCTGATAGATAACAACAAACCCACGTGACCCGGCCTCGAGCGCCGATTGGACGCCCGCGCTGACCTACTTACTCTCATTGGCCGTCCGCCCGGAGAACGAGAAGAACGAGAAAAATCGCAGGCTAGAACCCTAGCCAAAGCGCTCGGCTCACGGAGACCCTCCACTTTCTCGACCCCCTCCCCTCACCGCCGCGCGCGGCTCAACTCGGCGTCCCTTCTGCCGCCCCCCACTCTCCTCTTTCTTCCGCCGCGAAACCGACGCCGCCGTGTGTCGCGAAATAACGCCCGATTTATTTTCCTCGGCGAAACCACCGTGAAATACGTAAGCGCGTCGATCGGAACCCGTCTCCCTCTGACCGACCGTCGATAACCAATTCCGCGGGACACGCGCGTTCCCATCTCGTTCACCCCGTGAAAACGGACTTTCGCAATCAGCTGGTAACGTTAAACGCGCGAGGCGGCCGCCGTTTTGACATCAGCTGAGGAGCAGCTCTCGGGGCGGTGACGAAATCCGCGAGCGATCGGCCTGCCAACCGTGTGCGAAGCTTCTCGCCAAAGAGACCTCGCTTCGCCAGACACTCCCACCGTCGTTCCAATACCATACTGTGCATTCGTTTTCATGAAATACCATGAATTCTCGCGGTCCAGCGACACCGAGCGAGCACGGTGCCCGCAACGATGCCGGGCGGCCGTGTCTCACAACGCGGGAACACGTTTTTCCAGAGAAAATCCGCGTTCGTGGTTCAGCTGACAGGACAGGGCGGCCATTTTGCGTCAGCTGAGAAGGTCGGTGACGACACGCGCCGAGTGGAATATCTTCGCGCGACGCTCCGCGCGAAGTCTCGCCGCTCGGAAATGTGTCGCAAAGAGCCTCGCCTCCTATGTAATTCTCCAAGGTTTGTGCATCGCGAGGAATGCGTGCGAGTTTCGTTTGTTCGAGGGGAGAGGGAGGGAAAAAGAACGAGCCGCCCGCTTTGCGGACAAAACGAACCTGGCAAAAGTGCGAAAAGAGAAGCATCGTCTCTCGTCTTCTTCTCGATATCTGTACGATATTTTCTGTCGCGTCAGGTGTGATGGTGATATAAGTTTCTTGTTTTTCTCTCCGGTACTGGAGATCGATCGAATTATTCGCGATCGAATTATTCTCGATCGTTGAACGAACACGCTCGGTGTCAGCTGGGGGGCGCCAGTGACGAAACGCGGCCGAGTGAAGTGTCTTCGAGAGACGCTCGGGGATTCGTCGTCGTTTTCTCGGCCGATGCGTAGTATCGCGGTTTCGGAAACTGGTGCATGACCGTGATCGGGGTTCGTCCGTCGCTAACGACGATCGAGATGCCAAGCCGTCGGGATGCCACGAGTTTCGACGATTCGAAGACGGAAAAGCCGGCCGGGCTCTCGCTGGTTGTACGTTGGCTGTTCCGCCGATAAATCGATCCGGCGGCGGCGGCGGTGGCGGTGTTGTCGTCGAAGGTGAGGCCAGGCGGTTGCATTGCTATACCGTGCGCGCTCGTCATGGCGGCGCGGAGGACACAGCGGCGAGCAATGAAAATGGCCGGAAGATGCGAAAACGGGGCGGTGGGGACGGATGGTAAGGCCGAACAGAAGGCAACCGTCCGCGCGTTCTCAGCAGCCTATCCTAGATTTATTTCCGTGGACGTTGCGCAATAAACACGCTCCGCCGCCGCTCTGTGCGTTAGCTCGCGCCGAACGCGCGCGGCTACACCCCCTCGCTTCGCTTCGCTTCGAAAGAGGTGCCAAGGGCTAGTGAGTAACATTTAATTGTCACCGGTTAAACCATTCCTACCGAGGCGCATAAAGGAACGGGATTATTACCCGGCCCGTGCATTGTAACGTTATTCCTCGCTGTCAATGTAATGGGGTCTTCTTAGTCATCTTCGTTGCATTAACCGTCGCCGTTCAACTGCTAAACACGCCTCTCGGGTTTTCTACTCGATACGTGTCCTCCTCCTCCTCCTCCTCTTCCTCCTCCCCGTGGAGAAGAATGTTCAATCGCGAGCAGCAGAGCTTTCGTTTCTTAGTTTTGTTTAATCGCCGTGATGTAATTCGACTGTATTTTGATCGTCGCAAGTTTGATAAACACTCGCATTTTACGCACTCGCTATTTTAAACCGATGTTCCTTAACCCCTTAACGTGCACGCTCGAGTTAACTCGAGCGCGCTAAACTGGCCAAACTGTGCACACTCGAAATAATTCGAGCGGTGTTGTACTTTATGTTGCTATAATTTTTCACACTCGAATGCAATCGAGAATTGAAAATAACAATGTGAAAGCAAAAAAAAAACAATCGTTTTATTGATATTTATCGTTTACATGGGATTGTAAGCTATAACACTTACTTATTCAAGTATAAAATATATCCTTTTTCTATACTTATCACTTACGACTTATCTCTTTCTTGTGAGCCGCTTTCCGACAGCGTATTCGTATTCAGATTCTGATTTGCTCATTTTTCAATATATATTTTACTAAAATATAATGTAAAATAAAATATAATAATAATAATAATAACAATAATAATAATAATAATAATAATAGTAATATTCTAAAAATGAGAAATCATACCAATTGTATAAATATCTATTATTTTTGTATTTTTGTAATTTTCTTGCCAAGACAACGTTCTAAATTGTGTTTTTTTACATTAAAAAGAATTGATTTTTTTTGGCCGGCCTTTTTAAAAAAAACTGTGCATTAAGGGGTTAAACCGATGTTCTTTAATCCCGTCCGAGAGGTTATAACGTCATAGTGTCGTAAAAATAACGCCATGAATGGACACACGCTGGTCGCCGCGGCTCACCGGGCGAATTAAAAAGTAATTCTTCCTTCGTTTTACAGGAATTACGTCTGATCTTTTTTTTTCTCTTTCTTTTTCGTTTTATGAACGATAGAAAATGTGCACACAACGAAACGTGCAGACTCGAATAAAATAATTAGTTCTTGCGTGACGCGTAGAGGGCTTCATCGAGTCACGGTGGATCAACTTTAAAATTGAAATTCGTTTCTATCGCGTTTAACTAACCGCGGCTCTTGGACGGAATTTTTTGCGGTCATCGGTTTTGGTTTTTGCGGTGAGGATGTTTTTCAAAGAATCTCTCTAACCCTCCTCCTGTTTACTCCATTGTTCCTGCTCGCGAAGCGTGTCAGTCAGTTTAAAAGAATTGCCACCAGAGATTCGACAAATAATAATGTCTGTTCGTTCCAAAAAATTCCCGATGCTCCAACATGACGTGCAAAATCGTTTTGCACGCGACGATAAACAATTCTGCAGGACATTGTCGTCGCCCGGAGTTTTCCCCGGATTATCTTTTTTACCGGATACAGCAAACGCGTTTCCTGATTTATTGCCAGAGAAGAGATGCTACGTCGAGGAAAGGTATGGGAGACTGCCGGCTATAACGATGACGTATCACGATTATTACATCCACACTGACGTAGATAAAATGCTGTGTGTGGAAGATAAGATTACGTCCGTACTGGCAGTCACAGTCACGATCATCCTAAAAGGTAACAACACCTATCAGAGAAGTGATTCCGCTCGTTTAATCGTTTTATTAAAGCGTAATTGGTATCGTTTATTTACGAAAACATCAGTCTCGATACTTCCGTGTGGAATAACCGGTATAATTACGCGATCGGTATGCTGGTTTTTCTCGTTTTCAACGTTATTGGAATCGGTGTTTCGGCACAATCTGTCGAAACTTGTTCGCCGCTATGCGTGTGTGATGTTTGGTACAAGCTGCAGCGAGCTTCTTGCACAGGCCGCCATCTTTACAGCGTACATGCAGGCACCATGCATAATGTGGAGGCCTTGGACTTGTCGGATAACGTGGTGTCCACTTTGAACGGTTTCGAACTGGAGGTCGGTATATTTTTCTACGAACGATATCGTTAAAGTTGTTTTTCTATAATAATAATAATATAATAATAAGTAATAATATAATAATAATAACAGAATTTATATCTCGTTCAGAATGTAGGTCTGGCGAACGTGAAATTTCTGAATCTGTCGAAAAACACGATCAGCGATATCGATTTAAATGCTTTCTATGGACTGTTCAACTTAACCATACTGGATTTGTCCAGAAATCATCTTTATTCCATTTCGAGCGATGTTTTCGTGGAGAACAAAAATTTGAAAATTTTGTACCTGTCCAAAAACAACTTCAACTCCCATGTGCCGAAGTTGCGCACGACTTCGCTCACGGTAATCGAAAAAAATAACTACCTTCGATACTATAGAAGAGTTCTGATTATCCAGAATGTCTGGAACAATGCACGGCGATGACGTCGTATTTTCTTTTTTTCATGTAATAACGATACAGTCGATTCTCCTGAACAATACTGTGCTCTTGGTTTCTTTTTTCATTGCCTAATTTCGCCTAATTTCGCCGTAATTAATGTTTTTCGGTTTCATTTTTGAAAATGGCGCTCCTTGTGATAAGTGGCGTCTCTCACGGCGGAAATTCGAACTAAAATTAAGGGCTCCGTACAGCGCCAATCGGTGCAGCGGCAAAACGCTCAAACTGTTGGCCAAAATCGACTGTCGGTAATTTGGCTAATAGTTTGAGCGTTTTGCCGCTGCACCGATTGGCGCGGTACGGAGCCCCGAACGGAGCTTCAATTTTTCTCCGCAAGAGGCGCCACTTGCCACGAATGGCGTCATTTTCAAATTTGATTTCTAACGAAATATTAATAAAGAAGGAAATAGAGGTCTCCTTGGTTCCAAGCATACCGGATAATCGGAAGCCCGTCGTATTTACAAAAAACTATCATTCTCAATGATGTCGAGTAAATTTTTATTCAGGAGCTGAACTTGGATTCTTGCCAGATCAGTCATTTACCTTCGGACACGTTCAGTGGACTCCCGCGTCTTCAGCGTCTGAATCTTTCAAATAATTTAATGATTCAATTGAGTCGCTCCGTTCTGCAAAAGTTGCCTCATTTGAAGGAGATATCGTTGGAGGAGTATGGGAAAAATTTTCTACGATGACATACATTTAGACAAATAATATATTACAATAATATTAATAATACAATAACGATAATATTAATATTACAATAACGATAATATTAATAATACAATAACAATAATATTAATATTACAATAGCACAATTGTAATTGGATTTGAAATCTTTTCAGGAATCCATGGTCGTGTAATAAAGACATGCATCAACTGTACAGACATCTCGTGCACCATGGAGTGAAGTTTCTTGAATTCTGCGGTCTAAAGCATCCGAAAAAATTTGAAAAAATGGTGGTCGCCCCTACGAAAGACTTGACGAATTACAGTCGCTCCGCAGCAACGAATGCGACCACTGCGGGTACAGTGATAAGCAAGGATAATCTCACCAGCGTATCCGACAATAAAACTCAGTTGATATGCGAAGAATCGAAGAAACAAATGCTTCTTTCCAATTCGCTTTGGTTGCTCGTTATCGGCTTTATACTTGGTACGGCATGCGGTTTGATCGGTTCCTATATATGGTTGTCGGGAATGTGTTCATGTGTCCGATCTCGGAGACAAGGAAACACCTCGTCCGATGTTTGGGGCCACACTATACTGTTGAATCCATATTTATTAAATAGCGTAGATAACCATAGTCTGACCGAGTCGTGTCCCGGTACTCCACCGCCGTCCTATCGGGAAGTTATGCTACGACCTAGTAGGTACCGCCTAATGAGACATTAAATTCAAATCATACTTAAAATCAAACGTAAGTAAGAAAAGATTTTTCAAAATGCACACACACACACTGTTTGCACATTTAAAAGAAGCATCTACACGTAAACAGACCAGATCATTGTTATATGTTGTACACGAGTGATTTCTTCAAAACACATGCGAGAGATTTGTTGTTAAAAAAAAGACGATACCTGAATTTTACTCAATTAATTAATAACAACATTTATTAACAGATACAATTTATAAGGTTTATATTAACAACAGTATGAAATCTCGGTACATACAACAAAGGATATACGTACTTATTGTAATTTATATTACAATATATTACATGCATATGTATATATACGTACATAACAATGAGTATTATTAAGTCTTTTTAATAATATCGTATTATGATAAAAAAAAGTCTGTACTGCTCTCACAGCTTGTTATGCGGCAACTTGGTTTAGCACACAACAATTTAAGCACAATCATTATGATTGTTCGTCGGGTCATTGCGTAGCAATCATATTACTCTTATCTACGTTCTGGCTCGTACTTAATGTAACAGTCTTGCAGCCGATGGCAGTTATTATGCTCTCCGTTATTTCGTGGTCGTATCTCGTTCCCCGTAGATTACTTATCACGCTCGCGTCCTGACTGAAATTGTTCGACACCAGGCCAGCCGGCAGTCTCATTTTTATTTCCTCGACAACTCCATTTTGTATTTCTAGCGTTAGATTAAAACGATGGACTTTGCTATCACGCGCGACGAGGTCCAATTCGCGAGTTATCGAGAACATAGGCGATTTTCCGTAGTTCCATTCCCACGAGCGGAACTGGCTTACCAGCTCGTCGAGACCTGGCAACAGAGTCATTTTTAAGCGACCGTCTTAGACTACTGATAATACTATACACGTATACGTATATTTACTTGCGTCGACGAGCTATGTACCATGACAATAAACGTAACTTTTTCAACGCGACATACCTGGGAACCAATCCTCGGTCGGATTGATGTACTGAAACCCTTTCTGCTGTTGAATCAAGTCTTGTCCACCATCTTCTAAGGCCAGCGCTTTCGTGCGAAGATATTCCCAGCCAATTGCATTGATAAGCTTGTCCATGCATATGTGCGAATTCACGTCTATTAAATTTTTTACCGGAGACCGGGTAGATGCAGTGGCGTTTGTTTTTATGCCATCCTGTAAGAACGTGATCACATCAATTTTATACTCAATTACAACTGTATACATATGTATATATATGATGTATATGATATATGTATATATATAATATTTATATCATAAATATTTGCTATATATATATATATATATATGAACTGCATTTTTATGTATTTTCGATCGAAAAAACCGTTTTTGTCTTTAACTTCGTTAGAATTTGTTACTCGAACTGGGATGGTAAATTTCTTTTTTATCTCGCGCCAATCGATAACCGCGTATCACGCTCAGCTTATCGATCGAGTTACATTTTGCATACCGTCGTTCCATCATGCAGAAGCTTCCGTATAGAAAATGCAGCGAAAATGCGCTGGCAAATTATTATTTACCTTATTCGTTTCGAGCGCCAAGCTCAACGCTGATTTGTTTACATTGACCAGCAGCGTGCAGTGATGATACGCGTTCGATTTTCCTAATTTCGCTGCGGTACCAGACACCTGCGTTTCAACAGAGTTAAGGGAAACCATAAATCGTGCGTTCGCGAAGCGCGTAGCTTCGCCGTCGGAGAACTTGTTCCAACGCGTTCCAATGTTTACAACATTTTTCTACGGCGCCCTATTCTCCTCGGCCAAAAAAAGAAAAATGTAAAAATTCGAGAACGCGTTTCGAATTCGTATCACCGTTTTACACATCACTCTATCTAGCGAACTAACATCGTCGCACAAATATACAGAACGATGTATTTGGAACGAAATCTTTTTTTTTTTCTTTACGGCACGCTTCTATTCAATGCTGACCTTTGGAACACCCTGTACAAATTAAGAGAAAAAGACATGCGTGCTTTTATACATTACATTAAAGGATACTTTGTAATTGCCTTCAACGACGATGTCCTCGCGTTTATTAATGTCAGCTTTCACTCCCCACTCACGGTACAGCGCTCTGGTTATGATGCCCAGATTGTATTTTCGGTTGTATCTGTCCCGCGGCGTGAAAAAGGTCAGATTCAGGTTGCCCGCGTCGTGATAGACGGTGCCGCCGCCGCTGTTACGTCGCGCAAGCGCGATGCCACGTTTCTCGGCCAGTTGAGCGTTATGCTCGATCCATGGGTTCTGATGACGTCCGATCACCACGCAGGGATCGTTGCGCCAGAGCAACAACATGTGATGATTCGTGAAATCGTCGTTCCGATAGAACCAATCCTCTAACGCTAAATTGGTGAACACATCCGTGGATTGCGATATAAATACTGACTTCTTAATCGATTCGTCGAGGTCGCCGTTCTGCTTGCCGTCGGGGCCCGTCGAGTACCTGGACACCTGGCGGTAGTTGCAGTAACACGATCCGCGTCTGACAGCAACGAGAAATTTATTGATCAACGCCATTCTCGTGCGATTTCTCTCTTGACCACTCTCTTATGGGCGATGTAATTATGGAGTATTTAAAGGATGAAAATTGATAACCGGACACACGAAAACCGTACTCCCTGGAAGGAAATACCGACTCAGCAGAATCAGTCTTACTTTATTTTAGAACTGTGGGCTGTGCGTTTCAATCGTTGATGTCCACGCGTGGCGAAATTAACCTTGATTCAGGTTGATAGTTCCGTCAGTAGATAGCAGCCCTTATTGGATCGATTTTCTCGAAACGTCGGATTGACTGGCTGTGATCGAGATCAGATAGTCGTGCAGGGCGATCGTCTGATGCAGCCACTTCCAGTTCTGATTCAGGGAGTTGATACGGTATCGGAGACCTAAACAGTCTCGGCAGTCCTTTTGCATTCCTCCGTGTGCTGACAATTTGAAAAGAAACATTCAAATTAACCGCGACGACCGATGAAAACGAGACGGCTGCGACACAACCCCTTCTTTCTGTCTGGTTTTTTCGCGTAAGTTTCACAAGAGAGAGAGAGAGCGAGGGAGAGAGAGAGAGAGAGACACGCGTTAATAAGTTCTCCGCTCGAAGCACTCGAGAAGCGCGCGATAAACGGTTGCAGGACACTCCCCGAAGATCGTTGATGCACTCGCGTATTTGCAATGAACGTCGAACCGTTAGGTTTTGATGTTATATGAACTTCGTGTGATCGGAAAAAAATAGAGTGGGGGGGTCTATAAAACACACGCAAGGGGTTATCGGAGGTCGTAGCACAAAGTACAGCTGACCTGATATCGTCGCGACGCAGCTTCTCTTTGAATTCGATCGGTTGCGACTTGACTCGTAGCACTCCTTCCCCCCCTCCTCTTCCTTCCTTTAGGTCTTTTCCTCCTAGGTTCCTTGTCGATGAATATAGTTATGCGGATACAATTTTTAAAATAAACCTGAAAGGTTTATTTATAATCACCCAGATGCCCTTCTCTTCCCAATTCGTTTAGTTCGCGATCTTCGAAATCTGGGTCATTCTTGTCTAAAATACAAAAATATAATATATAGAATATATAGAATATAGAATTTAGAATATAGAATAATATATATATTCTATATAGAATATAGAATATATTGTGAATAATAAGCGACATTTTGGGTACTGAGTTTGAAAATGATCTGTTACCAGCATTGCTCTTATATAATATATATATATATATAATATTAAATATAATATTATATATGTGCTGTCAAAATTCGCCGCGTTTATCAGTATAACAAGAATAGAGAAAAGAAAATCCAAAAGAGATCCTCAAGCAATTAATATTAATATTAATTATTATTACAATTAATATTAATTACATATAATATTATATATAATATAACTCTGTGAATATTAATTGCTC